GTCCTCCTCCCAACAACCCCCCTATGGGTATGGGTGCGTGTTGTCCGTTCGTCATGGGTGGCATCCTCGGAGGTCACCCCCATCAGAGGGACGCGAAGGTCCTGTCTCGATGAGCGCGACGCGGCCCGGGCTGGGCCACAACTGCCGACTCCCAGCAAGGTGGCCTCGCGAGGGCGGGACGACTCTAGACGCCCGTCGCTCGCGCCTCGCGGCGCGCGGCTGCGCGACGCTGAGTGACCTACAGTGAAAACGTATAGTAAGGACGCGAGGTAAGGACGCAAGACCCTTGGAGGCCGAAGTTGGAGTATTCTGGGCGGCAGGCGGCCAACCCCCCAGGGAACCTGAGAAACTGGCCTGCGCAAATTGCTGGGGGCGAGCCGCAGAGGCTGAGGCAGGCAAGGGCCCAAGGGTACCCTTGAAAACGTCGTTTGTCCCTACTATGCGCGTTGACTGTATTGCATCCTGTCTTGAGGTGGTCGCGAGCTGCCAAGGGCACCAAATCCGATGCTCGAAGCTGCCGATGGCTCCAGCTCCCCTTGGGGCCTCGTTTCCTCCCCGGTCGGCGTCCCTCCGCCGGGGTCGCTTCTGTTTGCCCTCGCTCTCGCCTTCGTTTTCGGGCCCCTCGGTTGGCCCCGCTCGTCGCCGCGTGGCTTTGGAGCTAGCGCTGTACTCTAGCCCCGTCGCGCATCGTGGGGCGCGACTCGCGAAGTTGGGTGACCCAGCATCCTGTCTTCGAATCCGATCCTCGAGACTGCCGATGGTTGCAGCTCCCTGCTCCTCTCTCCTCCTCGCTCTCCCCGGGGTCCCCAGACCCCCGACATCGTGATTTTTTTCACACCGTCGACCTCAAAAGTCGGAAACTGGAACGTATACATTACCAGTGGCGGGCTGTTTTTGAATCCCAGAATGTCTTGAGGGTCGGGGACGACGTCGGGATGGTGTGGTGTATACTTTTTTCCCCGTGTTCCCGTGGAAGCAACAAACAATGTATACACCAGGATACCGTATACACCAGAATCCGTTTTCTTGTGCGAATCTCAGTGCGGGACCGGAAAAAGGCATCGGTGTATAGAGTTCGGTTCCCTACAAAGGTCCGGACTCCTTCCCCGGGACCAGTTGCTCATCCCGAGTCATGGTTTAACAGTCCCGGGGCCCGGCGAGGGCCCCCAGGGGCCGAACACATTGCGAGAGTGTGCCGTCCTGATGCTTCAACGACGTGATCCCGTCTGGGGATGGTTCCAGCTCCCTGCTTCTCTAGGGGAACAAAAAGTGACATAAACATAAAAATTCGGAGGTCCGCGCAGATGTCTCGGATCGGCGCTGGGACCCCGCGGCGGCGCCTCCGGCGCCGCTCCGAGCAATCCGCGCGGACCTCTGAGAGTCGTTATGCTTGTGCCACTTCTTGCTCCCCGAGCCTCTCTCCTCCTCCTTTTCCTTCTCCTCGTAGTCGTCTTCCTCCTCCTCCTCCTCCTCCTCCTCCTCTCCTCCTCTCCTCCTCCTCCTCCTCCTCCTCCTCCTCCTCCCTCCTCCTCCTCTTCCTCATCCTCCTCCTCCTCCTCCTCCTCCTCCTCCTCCTCCTCTTCCTCCCCCCGCAGGCGCGATGGTTCTCTGATGTCGCGCGGGCGGAGGCGCGCGGGGCGCGCGGAGGAGGCCCCGGGCCGCAGGGCGGCGCCATGGCTGGCCGCGCTCCTCCTGAGCGCCGGGAGCGCCCGGTGCCCCGCCCGCGGGGGTGCCGCCCGCGCCTGGCAGCGCCCCCCGCTCCCGGGGGTCAGCTCGGCGGCGAGCGAGGGGGGGCAGTGAAGATGGTCTACTCTGTAAGAACAGTTTTTTGAAGGCAGATCTGCCTTCAAAAAATCTGTAAGAACGGTTTTTTGCAGGCAGATCTGCCTTCAAAAAATCTGTAAGAACGGTTTTGTTGAAGGCAGATCTGCCTTCAAAAAATCTGCCTTCAAAAAACCGTTCTTACAGAGTGAGGACTAAGGTCAGCGAGCGAGGAACGGTACAAAATAAAGTTTCCGCCGTCGGGGACGCCTGCCCCTGGGCGGCTGGAGAGTTTATACCCCTACGGTGCCAACAGAAGGGTATAACCTTTCCAGCCGCCCTGGGGCAGGTGTCCCCGACGGCGAAAAAATCATGTTATACCGTTCTTCGCCCGTTAATGGGGGGGGATATCATGGCGGGGGCCATGATATCTCCCCAGATTTCATGGCGCCTCTGCTTGTTTCATCACGTCCCTGGCCCCCCCGCTGGGCCGCGCACGTGCCGCCGGTCATGATTTGCACCCCCCCCTCTTGGACACCCCCTCTTGGCCGCTCCCGAGAGAAGGAGAAGGCCTTCCCGGAAGGCGGCGGGACTGCTCGGAAGCCCCCTCGCGCCTTCTGAGAAGCGCTCCTGTGCCTTGGGGGGAAGGCTCCGAAAACTTCTCAGAAGGCCCGGGGGACTTCCGAGCCTTCTGAGAAGGCCCGCCCCGTCACACTTTCCCCCCCTCGCTCGCCGCCGATCAGCCGCCTGGCGCCTGCCCGGGCGCCGTCGCCGGCGCCGCTTCTTCGGCCGAGGGCCCCGGGCCGAAGGCCGGCGGCGCGGAGGGCCCGGGGCGGCCAGGAGCAGCAGCGAGAGGAGTTGTGGTGGCCCGGCGAGGTCGGCGAGGGCGACGAGGGGCACCCGAGTCGCATGGAGCTTTAGGAAGAGCAAGGCACACAGCCACAATCCATCGTCGACAGCCCAGGGAAAGATGGGAAACTGGGGGAGGTGGAGGGGAGGACGAGAGCCAAGGAAACATGGGGGACATCGGGCATCCTGGGCTTTGTGTGTGTGCCGTGTGTCCGTGGGCCCCTCTCAGGAGTGCCCCGAGTGCGGTGCGCACATGGACCTGGTGCGGCGCGGGGCGGCCGGGCGCGGCGCGGGGGGGTGGTTCTACGCCTGCTCCCGCCGCGACGACGAGCGCCGCCCCTGCACGGCCTGCAGGAAGCCGGTGAATAGGACCGCGGCCAGAGAGCGCTCGAGGCAGAAGGTCCGACGACACGTAATCAAGGGCATAAAAAACGCCCCTACCCTGGTTTACGAGGCGCTCTGCGCTGAAACTCCTGTGGGCTGACAGGGTAAACCCTGTGTGACGTGCCGCGCCCTGGCGGCTCTAGGGTTTGGGGGTTCCCAGGAGTTTTACACGCCCCTACCCTGGTTTACGAGGCGCTCTGCGCTGAAACTCCTGTGGGCTGACAGGGTAAACCCTGTGTGACGTGCCGCGCCCTGGCGGCTCTAGGGTTTGGGGGTTCCCAGGAGTTTTACAGACCACGCACTTGTAACCCAGGGTAGGGTCGTTTTTGCATCCCTAAATGTAAGAGTGACCTTTCGCCGGAGTGACCTCGGGTGCGGGCACAATGGGGGCGCCAGATCACCGATTGCGATGCGATAGCAGCGTCTTGCGCGCCTGAGGTTTGGCCCCCCCGCGCCCCCCCAAAAGCCGCGCACCAAAGGTCACTCTTGCCCAGGGTCACTCCTGCGCGTAGCCGAAAGGTGCCCCGCATCATCCTCCGCAACTACCAGGTTCTGGCCGAAGCGAAAGGGAGCGAGAGGGAAAGGGGGGGTTACGAGATCTGCTGCGTGCAGCTGCCCCCGCCAGGCCCACTCCTCGATACATGGGCGCCTCCCGGCGCCGGGAGGCGCTGGGAAAATCAGCTACTTGAGCTGATTCTCTACCCTGCCCTTTGCTGTCCCCCCCTTTCGTTCCCCCCGACAGGTGGGCGCCGTGGAGACCATCAGGCGGTCCTTCCAGGGAGGTCAGGACAGGGTCGTGGTGTCCTTGGCCACGGGGGCCGGCAAGACGTCCGTGGCCAATGGCTACCTCGACAAGCACGAGTCGGAAGCTGTGGTCTTGTGGACGGCACCCGGCCGCGAGCTCCTCGAGCAGGCGGAGATGAACTCGCGGGGGTTCCGGCCCGATCGCGGTCGTCGGTATTCAGGAGGGAAAAAAACGCAGACCTAATTGATCGTCGATTCCCCAGAAAATATACGAAAACATGGGAGGTGTGGGAAGACGAAAATAAATAAGACAAAATATATGGGAATCCTGTTATTTGTATGTATTTGTGTGTCCCAGAGCCCCTTCAGGTATCGCGTCGGACTGGGGGACGTCATGCCAGACATCCCCGAGCTACCCAGGCAGATCTGTCGCTCTGGCGGCGCGGTGGTCTACGCGACGGAGCAGGCTATCTTCAGAAGGCTGAAGAGTCCTGCAAAAGGCATGTCCGGTCCCGAAGAGGCCGAAGGTCTCCAGATGCCAGGCCGCATCCCTGACCTCATCGTCGTGGATGAGTGCCACTGGGCGGGTCTTACCAAAATCGGCATGTGCATTCTAAAGTGGGCCAGGTACCACGGAATTCGGGTCCTGGGTCTCACCGCCACGCCGCTCCCGGCGGCGCCTCTTCCAGTTGTTCACGTGCTCCCTTTGGTGCAACTCGCGAAGCTGGGCGTTCTCGCTTGGCCCAGACTCTGGCGAGTCGAGCGGCTTCCCGACTTACCGCTGTGCGTAACGAGCGTGTTCGACATGCGGAATCACCAGGAGGAGCTGCCCCTTGAGCTGCCTCCTGCCGACATGGCCATCGATCTGACAGAGGTTGTCGACGTGTACGAGGGTGACGCGGAGAGGTGGGGCAAGACCTTGATCAAGGTTGCCTCGATCGAGGATGCCGATGACCTGGTGCGACTGTGCCGGCAACGAAATCTCCGCGCCGCGACAGTCAACGCCAGAACGCCTCTTGCAAGCAGGCAAGGTATCTGAGGCGCCTATGGCGAACCATCGCCGCCCCTTGGCTTTTTTGGAAGCGCCTACACGCGCCGATGTGGTCCCCCATCCGTTGTGGAAACCCTTGCGGAAACCCTTACGGGAGGAAGAACGAGAAGAGGAGGAGGAGGAGAAGGAAAAAGAAGAAGCAGAAGGAGAAGAAGAAGAGGACCGGTGCAAACCCAAGACTCATCAACGATGTTGGAATTTACTCTCCCTCCAAGCCTCCAAGCCCACTCTTCATAGGCCCCTGCAAAGGTTCATCCACTGAGGGAAGTGCCCGTTGGAAGACAACCGTTTGAAGATCTTGATGCGTGCCAAATGCCGTTCTCGGAATACCAACGCCACGAATATGCCTGCACGTTGCGTCTTGACGATCTTGTATCGCGCCAGAACACCATTCCTGAGACTTCAGAACCGCGAATCAACGCAACTGTTGCGTCCTGACAATCCAGAATCGTTCCAAATCGCGGATTCTGATACGTTAACCATAGGTACCAGCGACACGCAAATATTTGAAACACATGTGCGCGGCGCTGAGGCGAGAGTCAAATTTTGAACAGGAACCGCCCTGAATGTGTGAAACGCCTTGCATGTTTGTTAAGACGAATGCGCGCGGAGCTAGCGCGAGAGCCACATTTGAAAACCGCCCGCCCTCAATCCGTGAAGCTCTTGTTTTAAGTTTGTAAGACGAGTGTGCGCGGCGCTAGGGCGGGAGCCACATTTTGAAACCGACCCGCCCTCAATCCGTGAAGCGCTTGGAATGTTTCCCAACCCTTCGTGTTTGGTTTTCCTTTCGAATGGAGCGTTGTGATATCCGACCCAACCCGTCCTCTCCTTCTTCTCCTCCGGACTCCTTCTCCCCCTCCTGCCTCTTGCTTTTTTCCCAACCCTCCGTGCTGGGTTCTCGTCCTGGATAGATCATTTTGGTCGCCCCGTCCTCCTCGTCTCCTCACCCCTCCTTCCTCCTCCTCCTCCTCCTCCTCCTCCTCCTCCTCCTCCCTCCTCCTCCTCCTCCTCCTCCTCCTCCTCCTCCTCCTCCTCCTCCTCATGCCTCTCGCTGTCTGTTTTCCTCCTTGTCTTCCACCTCGCGGCTCCTTGGGGGGGCTGCGAATTGCGCAATTGTCGCCGCTTTCGTAGGCTCCTGGGAGGTACGTACAGAGTAGTGGAGTTGTAAACAGATCGCGTTGAGATCTCGCGGGTTCCTGGGGGGGGGGGCTGCGAATTGCGCAACGGTCGCCGTTTTCGTGGGCTCCCAGGAGTTCCAGCGGGGTGGAGTCGTAAACAGATCGCGTTGAGACCTCGCGGGTTCCTGGGAGGGCTGCGAACTGCGCAAATATTGCCACTGACATGGGCTCCTGGGAGGTGCAGCGGAGTGGAGTTGTAAACGTCCTTTGGGGGGCTGAGAACTGCGCAAGTGTCACCACTTTTGGGCTCATGGGAGGTCCAGCTGAGTGGAGGTGTAAACAGATCGCGTTGAGATCTCGCGGGTCCCTGGGGTGGGGGCTGCGAATTGCGCAACGGTCGCCGTTTTCGTGGGCTCCCGGGGGTCCAGCGGAGTTGAGTTGTAAACAGATCGCGTTGAGACCTCGCGGGTCTCTGTGGGTGTTGCGAATTACGCAACCGTCGCCACCTATCGTGGGCTCCCGGGAGGTCCAGCGGAGTGGAGTTGACCTCTCGGGTTTCTTGGGGGGCTGCAAATTGCGCACCGGTCGCCGTTTTCGTGGAGTGCAGCGGAGTGAAGCGGTAAACTGACCGCGTTGAGACCTCGCGGCTCCCTGGAGGGGCTGCGAACTGCGCAACTCTTGCCAGTTTCGTGGGCTCATGGGAAGTCCAGCGGGGTGGAGTTGTAAACGGGCTGCGCTGAGACCTCGCGGGTCCCTGGGGGTGCTGCGAACTGCGCAACCGTCGCCATTTTCGTAGGCTCCTGGGAGGTCCAGCGGAGCTGGCTGTCATGCGGACCAAATCGAGACTTCGCGGGTTCCTGGGGAGCTGCGAGCTGCGCGACAGTCGCCATTTTCGTGGGCTCCAGGGAGGCCCAGCGGAGACCTTGCGTTTATTTGGGGCTGCGAATTGCGCACTGCGGGTTGTTCAACGTGTTCGTTTCTATTGAGCGGTCTTGCGTATAGTCGTCACGTGTTTAGGAAAGGTTGGGTACGTCCCTCGGTAATTTCAGACGAATGTGCGCGGCGCTAAGGCAAAATCCACATTTTGAAAACCACCCGCCCTCCATCCGTGACGCTCTTGCCAGTTCTTATGCTTGAGGATCATGACTGGTACGTGAAATTTGTGCGAAACGCTTGGCCCGCCCTTCCGACTGGCCTCGGGGTGCGACAGGGAGGAGTTATTCAGAAGGAGGCGGAGGAGGAGAAGGAGGAGGAGGCGGAGGAGGAGGAGGAGGAGAGGAGTGATACTGGGGACGAGGAGGAAAGAGGCGGAGGAGGAGAAAGAGGAGGAGAATGAGGAGGAAAAAGAAGAGGAGGAGGATGAGGCCTCTTGGGAGCCTCCTGGGGCCTCTTGTGGACTCCTGGTGGCTTCCTGGGGGCCTCTTGGGGGCCTCTGAGGGGGCCGCTTGGAAGCCTACTGTTGCCTCTGAGGGGGCCCCTGGTGGCACCTTTGTGGCCTCTTGGGCCGTCTTATGGCTCTCTTGGCCGTCTTGGAGCCATCGTGGGCCGTCTTGAGGCCATCCAGGGCTCTCTTTGAGCTATCTTGTCTTGGCCGCCCTGGGGGCGTTTCGGGATTGTCTTGGAGGCCATCTTGGCACATCTTCGCCGTCCTGGACACCAGCTTGGAGCAAACTTGGGCGGGACAGCTGTTGGGAGCCGGGGACCTTTGGAAGGGACAAACGTATTCATCAACGTCAATACGCAAACAGTCTCTGTGGCAGGCTGCGAGAGCGGCGGATCGAAGACGCCTGCGGCGAGTCGCCGCCGCTCCATGCCTTTCTCACGCCTTTCTGTAAGTGCCGGAATCGCCGAACGCTGGAATCAAGCGTGGTTTAATGTTTGGCCTGTGTGGTCCCCCAACCGTCATGGAAACCCTTGGGGGCATGGGGGAACATGTGTGGGGGGAAGGAGAAGGGAAGGGTGAGGAGACGGAGGAGGAGGAGCAGGAGGAGGAGGAGGCGGAGGAGGAGGCGGCGGCAGCGACGGCGGACGATGAGGTCTCCTGTGGGCCTTTGGGGGGCACTTTGATGGCCTTTCGGGGTGCCTCCCAGGACCATCGGGGCACGTCTTGGTGACATCCTGGGCAGTCTTGTTGTCATCTTGGCCGTTTTGGAGGGCCTCTTGGGCCGTCGTGGAGGCCGTATAGGGCCGTCTTGGCCGTCATTTGGGACCGTCCTTGGGCCCTCGTGGGTCCCTCTTGGAGGCTTCCTGGCTTGTTTTGGGGCCATCTTGGAGGCCTCGTGGGCCGTCTGAGGCTGTCGGACGCCCTCGAGGGCGAGATCGCCGTCACCAGTCACAAATCTTAGGTAAAGCAGTGATTGTGTCTCTCGGAGGCCTCTTGGGGCTTCTCGGAGGCCTCTAAGACCGTCCTGGGGGTCATGTTGATCGTCTGGAAGACGTCTTTGCCCGTCTGAGAGGCCGTCTGGCAGGCCATCTGAGAGACCATCCTGGCCATCTTGACGCACTTGGAGGCGAGCTGTCTTGACTTTGCAATGGTTCCAGGTGCCTTGGAATGGCGGATACCCCAGATTTCGTAATAAAAGGGAGGGGGTCTGGACCCTCCAAGACAAGCCATTTCAGACCCCCCCCGTGGGAGAACCCTCCAAAACACCGTCCCCAGACCCCCCCAGGCCCTCCAAGATAGCCTGGAAGAGACCCCCCCCGAAATGAGACCCCCCTCCCTTTATTACAAAATCTGGAGTACATTTTTCGACACGCAGGCATCCCTTCGCAAGCGAAGGGGGCGGTGGATGCAGTGGACGCGCCGCCGTGCTTGGTTTGTGGACCAGAGGTCTCCTCCTCCTCCTCCTCCTCCTCCTCCCTCCTCCTCCTCCTCCTCCTCCTCCGCAGGCCTGTTTGGGGCCTCGTTAGTCTTGGGGGCCTTCTTGGGCCTCTCCAGGGGGCTCGGAGGCCGTCCTGGGACGATCTTGCAGGCGTGCTGGGCCGGGTGGGGCGTTCTTGAGATCGAAATGGCGAGACAGCTGTAACACTTGAGGTGGCACCCGGTAGATGCCCTTAACCAGTTCTCCACAGGCACGATGTGGGCCACGATGGTCGACTAAACGTAAAGAGTGACCTTTCGCCGGAGTGACCTTTGGTGCGGGCCCACAGGGGTCCCCAGGTCGCCGACCGCAGTCCGATAGTAGCGTGTTGCGCGTTCGTGTTTGGCCTACCCACGCCCCGCCTAAAGTCGCGCACCGAAGGTCACTCTTACTCAGGGTCGCTCTTGCCTGTAGTAGAGATGGGGGGCCACAATGGAGGGATCGGGATAGGGATGACGATAGGTATACAGGGCTAGGGGTATAGGGATCGGGATAGTGGGACATGGATCGGGATGGGGATGGGGATAGGGGTACGGGTAGGGATAGACACAGGGATATAGGATAGGGATGACAGAACAAAGGTATAGGGATAGAGACACTGGGATAGGGGTATGGATATATATATATATATATATATATATATATATATATATATAGATATACGGCTCGATATAAGGAAAGAGAGAGAGGGATAGGCAATGGGAGACAGCTGGAGGCAATGGCAGACAATGGGAGACAGCCAGAGACAGTGTCGCCCGCCCGCTTCCAGATCTGTCAGTCCACCTGATCGTTTCCTAGAACATCGTTCTATATATAACCATGACAGGCGAGTTGCTTAGGGAACACATCCATTTTGCTTCCCACGTCCTGGGGCCTTTATTTTCTCTGCATACCCCCCCGCAGGATAATTCTCCTCCTCATCCTCCTGCTGCTCCTCCTCCTCCTTACCCCCTTCTCTCTTCCTCACTCACACACTCACACCCCGCACCATCATCATCATCATTGC